ACAGCCATCAGCTTCTTCAGATACTTAGTGAAGAGGGTGCACCACAAATCCTAAGAAAGGGAGAGTTTTCAAAAAGTGCAACTTGGGCACAGTGGTTCTAACTGCATTGTAAAGCTTTAGTGTCAGACCCGGCAAATGCTGATTCAGAACAACGTTGGCGAGGTCTGACCCTGTGTGTGCCCCAAACGGGCCCAGCTCTCAGCACCCTCAGCTCCCCAGCGCCACGTGCACTCCCTGCTGGACTGGCCCCATTGGGCACTCCAGCTACAGTTCATCAGCCAAGTAAGAGAAGGAAATACTGGAATCCCAGTCTTTCCAGTCACCCATCGGGTCAGAGCCTGAGGAGGCTCAAGGACTCGAGTCAGCCAAGAGGTCAAGGAATGGGAATCTAAGGTACTGGCTCTCATGAAGGCTGACACACTTCCAATAACTGGATTATGCACCTATCCAGGGATGTCCCTTCATTTATGGGCCCCCCTCAGGGAAGTTCCCTTTTTATTGGTCTTGGTTATGCAAGAACTGAGTTTGTTCATGCCCTGGATGAACTCCAAGGGAAAGTCTGCTCTAGAGTCCATGGCAGGATGATAGGTGGTTCCATGAATCACAAAGAAAAGCCTCCTGGATTCCCAACAAAACTGAGCGCATTTTCACAGTTAGGCCTCTGAGGCTTAAAATTCAGGGATGAAAGCAGTTAACTTTCTGAGAGAAGGATCATGACCATGAGTCTGTGAGGAGCAATCTAGACCCAGGCCAAGGCTGCATGTGCATCTGTTTGTTCCCCAGACCTGGTATCTGTGGCACTTTCACTGGCAGGGAGCTCAGAGAGGGACGAACAGAAGGACAGAGAGTCTATTTTTTAAAAAGTTATCGGCCTGCTAGCTTTAAAAAGAGATTATTATGAAGTCTAATTCTATGATAGGTTGTTTCCATCTTTCATCTCTTCTAGTAAGAAGGGAAAACGTGGGATAGTTTATTTAGGACCACAGATTTTATCATCTCTCACCCTCTTCCTGGATGAATGTATGGATAGCTACAAATTTCACTAATTATGTTTAAAATGTGACTGTTATATAGCGCCTCAGCTCTGGAATTCTCCAGTTAGCGGAATTCTCCAATTCTCCTCATCACAAACTGAATCTAAGCTATGTGTAAGCCTTTTTCTTCTCCTTGGTTCTTCAATCCATTTGAACGTCCAGTTGATAGATTTTCGACTACCACTGCCTGTCCCTGTCTTCACTCTCAGTCATCTCCACTTCATTCTGTGATTTGACTGCTTTTCCCATACACCTCCCTACAAACCGACAGTCCCTCTTTACCACCTAAGCCTTCTCAGCTGGCCTCTGAGCCTATCTGTCAGCTGGGCCTCTACTGCCTAACCAACCTCGCGTCCACTGTTAACCAAAACACAAGTCCCACCCTCAGCACATCAATCTGCTTATGGCCTCCCTGTGTGACCACACATACCAGGCTCATTCTCACTTTGGTGCCTTTCCCCTCAGTGTTTCCTACACCAGGAACACTCAAAGACTTTTATGTTCTCATAAAAAAAAGTGGGGCATTCCAAGATACTTTGCTGTCTTCCCATGGTTCTTTGAGAGTATATACTTGCCATTACCTTGGGTTGTTGTGAACAAAACAATACAAATAAATTCTCAAAATTTATTAGCACCCAAGAGGTTTGACCAGCCTCTACCACCCATGGGACACCCAGGCAGTAAGAGAAAGTAAAGTGCTAGGCATTTTGTGCACCTAACAACATGCAGTTGGCTCTTAGTGAAGTCCATTCACCACGTGAAGTACTGACTTTATAGCCAGTATTACTAGCCCAGAGTGTTTCACATCTCTCAGGTGAAAAATGTTCAACACTTAAGTGCTACTAATAATTTTTATGGTTGGAAATGAGGATCAAAGTATGAAAGGAAAAATAAATTCACGGGTTCATACATTCAGCCAAGTCTGCATGGCTCATTTTCTGCCACATGTTTTAAATGGTCTCTCTAAAAGGCGGGGGAGGGGAGGAGGAAAAGTTGCATTTTATTTCCCCACTCTTTAGGTCTGAAATAAAAGCAGACAGACTTGGAGGGGGGGGGAAAATCAAACATTCGAGTAACACTATACACTGCTACTGTTCCCCCAGGAGTTCCTTGCAAATGAGTATCAAGAACTCAATAGATACTTTCCTGGTAAAATACATAAATAGATAAATAAATTATTCCAGGCTGAAAAGAATTTCAACATCTGGCAGCTCACTAGAGCTTGTCAAACAAGTCAGAAGCACGCGGGGCCAGGAAAGATCATTCTTAGCTCCTGATTTGGGGGCTGGAGAGGGAATGTAACATTTCCCAAAGCTCTTTGCCTTCCAACAGGGAATATGACCCATTTAAACAGGCAATGACCCCTGTGTTTTCTTCCAATAAAATAAATAATGATACCCAGCATTAGGTCTCTAATCCTAATGTCTGTGTGCTCAAGTCATAGACAGTGGAAGAAAAGAGGCCTTTCCTACATGAACCGGCTTTTCATTCTCAAAAACTTGCTGTGGTATACCTTTAATGGCTATATTAAATGAACATTTAACACTTTAAAGAAGGAATTTAACCCTGGCTGGTGTGGCTCAGTTGGTTGAGTGCTGTGCCATGCACCGAAGGGTCGTGGGTTCAATTCCTGGTCAGGCACAAAATTGCGGGTTTGATCCCTGGTCAGGGCTCAGGCAGGAGGCAACCAACCAATCAATGTATGTTTCTTTCTTTCTTTTCTTTCTTTTCTTTTCCTTCCTTCCTTCCTTCCTTCCTTCCTTCCTTCCTTCCTTCCTTCCTTCCTTCTCTCTCTCTCTCTCCCTCCCTCCCTCTCTCCCTCTCCCTCTCTTTCTCCTTCTCCCTTCCTCCCTCTCTAGAGTCAGTGAAAAAAATATTATATATATATATCCTCAGGTGAGGATTAAAAGAAGGGATTTAACTTCTTTGCACCTCAGTTTCCTCAGGAACGAAGCGGCAGGATATCTCTAGTTCCCTCTATGTTCTGACTTTTGGATGCTTAACAGGCAAGCTAAGATTCTGATCCTTTTGGCCAGATCAGCAGGGAGGCCTGAGGGCGGGTCCCGTCTAGTGCACCAGCCTTGTCTATGTGCCGCAGTGCACAGCATTAACATCGCCTGTTTGTGTTATGTTTTTTTTTTTAAATATATTTTATTGATTTTTTACAGAGAGGAAGGGAGAGGGATAGAAAGTTAGAAACATCAATGAGAGAGAAACATTGATCAGCTGCCTCCTGCACACCCCCTACTGGGGATGTGCCCACAACCAAGTTACATGCCCTTAGCCAGAATCGAACCTGGGACCTTACAGTCTGCAGGCAGACGCTCTATCCACTGAGCCAAACCGGTTAGGGTTTGTGTTATGTTTTGACAAAGGCTGGGAAAGCACTGTTGTGGCTCTAAGAACTTCTTCCTGGAAAGGGATTCTAGGGCTCACTATCATTTTCAGACTAACAGTCCAGGTAGCTCTTCCCCTATCATTCCTCCTACATCTCTTACCTTTTACAGTAGGGGCAGACTGTGCTAGTTATTAGTTACTGTCTCCCAGCCCCACCCCTGCTTGGAATGCTGGGGCTGAGACTCCACAAGAATATGTCCGTCTAGGCTACATCATTCTGAATATTCCCTTTCTCACAGAAATAGATACATGGGTATAGTTTGAAGCCATATAGACAATGAAGAGAGAAAACCTGCAGAAACAATTGGTCTTTTGCCCTGAGTTGGCTAGAGAAACAAGTAGGTAATTTGCTTTTTTTAAAAAAATGGGAATGAGATTTACTAAAAATCATTCAACACCCTAAATGTGATGATGTAAAAGACATCTCTATGAATGAAAAGAAGTCCAAAAAGATGAATGTGTGTGTGATTAGCTACTCTCAAGCCTTTCACTGGTCAGTAACTATACTGACCAGGGTATCGCTCACCTATTCCACAATTACTTTTACACCCAAATAGAGCTACATACATACATATTTAAAAAAATAACCAAGGAAAACTTGAGCTTTTAATTTTTGGTGGTAGTGGTGATAGAGGGATTCTTATTTCTTCCCCTTAAAATTCACTTTTTACTTAAGGGCTAGAAAATAAATTTCTATAATAAATACGTGTACCAAATATGGCTTCATTTAATAAAACTTCACGATTTCTTAGAGCCCCAAATTCAACAAATCCCAAGTCAACTAAGGAAGATGGTTCCCTCTCTCCCAAAGGCGGGATGACTCCAGGGGATCAATGTCACCACCTTCGCACATGCCAGCTGTAGCTAATTGATTTATACACTCTGTTTTGCTTAGGTCTGATCCACCATTACGCCCCTGCAGCCACGGGCCTCTCCTGTCGCCATCGTGCATCTCTCGTACATCCTCCCCGACAGAGCTCATCAATTCCTATTGCTTTTCACCAGGCCTCAGCTCAGGGCACTTTCCCCTGGGGAGACCTTTACTGGTCTCCATACTTAACCCCTGAACCCTGCCTAATCCATCAGCCGCATCGAATGAACAGTGATAGAGAATGTTTCTCCCTTCAGACAGGCAGCCAGCCTCCCCACTTAAAACTCAGAAAGAAAGCCATCAACAGGGTCTGCTTTCTGTTTGTCAGCGTCGCCAGCTTCTTCACTTAATGATGTTTTTATTGTTGCAGCGCCCAGCTGCTGGAGTCAGGGGAGCGCTATTCAAAAGGAGACATCAATTAAGTGCTTGTTAAATGCTATAGATGCTCTTTTGAAAATGTCCCCTGGGACTCTCCTTGGGAGTTCTCCAAACTGGTGGAGGGACAGTTGTCATTTTGGAATAGGGTTTCCCCAAAGTTTTAAAGAACAGCTTCATAACCCTATGCACAGCTTTGGATCTATTTGAACTTAATTATTATGACTTTGGAGAATGAAATATAATAATCTTTATTAGGAAAAGTAAGCAATAATAGGCAATAAATATTAAGTATGTAAATATACTGCTTAAAATCTCCTTACCTCATAACCAAACTGTAGCTCATCAGAGGTCAGCATAATGATGTCATCATCAATAGCCAGGACAGCCTCCGTCTCGATTTCGTCATAAGGGAAGAAACGGTTACTCAGTTTGTTTTCAGCAGTCCTCACAACCTTTAATGGAACCCGGATTTTGGGCCAGAGAGACTCTGGAAAAAGAAAACACAAGGTATTTATCTTAAAAAAAAAAAAAGGTGGTGACAGCAGCATATCACAAATGAGCTGGAAGAATCAAATCCACACACAGTGTGCAAGGGCAGTTCTTACAAATGCAATTTTATAATATTTTATACTAGAGGCCTAGTGCATGGATTCATGCACCGGTGGGGTCCCTCAGCCTGGCCTGTGGGGACGGGGCCAAAACCGGCTCTCCAACATTCCCCGAGGGATCCTGGATTGCAAGAGGGCGGTTCTCAGGTGATGTACCCTGGAATCGGGCTCCCTCCTCTCTGGTTCCAGGTGCGTCATCAGAGAACCACAGCTGCCAAGTCACCACAGCTCAGCAGCTCCTGCGTTGAGCGTCTGCT